AAGGAAGGAAGGAAGGAAGGAAGGAAGGAAGGAAGGAAGGAAGGAAGGAAGGAAGGAAAATAATTTTTTTCCTGATATTCCAGAAAGAAGAAATTAAAAAGAATATATTCATCATATTTTACCAAGGAGAGCAGCTCAGGCTGAAAATCAAGAAGATCTGTGACGGGTGAGAGACTGTCGCTCTGTCTTGGTGATTGGGGTTGGACGTGGGTAAGGAGCCATGTCCAGCAGAATGCAGGTGACTGGGCCCTCTTTGAAGTTGACTAGGACTTTAGAGGAACTTCCAGAAGACCATTTTAAATGATGCTGGAAATACAACCGACTTTCAATAGTTGTGAGCCTATGAACAGGGAGAAGGTAACTAATCAGTTACCAAGGTAACAAAGTAGTGACACAGCGTGGTCCAGGTTAGACCTTCTACTCTTGCTTGCTGCTTGAGTGGGCTGACTCCGCAGCATGGTGGTAGGGCACTTCCCTGACATGCCAGAGGCCCTGGATTTGATTCACTGACACAGAAAAAGAGTAAATAGAAAAGGAAAAAGTAATCACCATGGTTCAGCTGTTTCTGTAGAACAATCTTGATGTTACTTATGTTTGTGTGTGTATGTTGTCCTGGGGATTGAACCCAGGACCTTACTCATGCTAGGAAAGCACCCTCCCCTTGAGGTATACACCGAGGCTGGCCTGGAATTCACTCTGAAGAAGCTTTGAGCTTGTAATCCTTCTCATCACCCTTCTAAGTGCCGGTGTTATAGGCACGAGGCACTGTGCCCAGATGTTGTGAATCATTTTCTAAAGACCACACAGGAGGCCATTTTAGCAAGAGCTTGGCCATTTGAGTCATGTCAGTCAGTGATGGCCTCCTAGCAAAGGGATTGTAGAAGCTTTTCTGTAGTAACTCATGTGCGTCCTTCGGAATGTGTTTAACACAGGTTTCGTGCTACCATCTACCCCTGTCCGGAGCATGCAGCTGAGCGCAGAGAGATGCTGGCCAGTGTCAACGTGAGGCTGGAAGACTTAATCACTGTGAGTGAGGGCTTCACACAGGGAGCTGACGGCCTCTACTTTTTCCATGTGATCCTGTCCCCAGGCCCCTTCCTGGAATGTTTGCTATGCAATCCTGGTTGGAATTGCAGCAGGTTGCACAACTAGAAAGCAGCGTTCAGTGAGCGGGGGCTGACAACTCTGCATGTCTGTCACATGCTGCTCCCAGCTTAGAATGGACCACAGCCCTAGTTTACCTCAAGGCAGCCGCCCATATCTGATGAAAGGAGCCCTTTACAGCCAACCTTTGCCTGATGAGTCTGCAACCAACTAGTCAGCCGACGGAGTGGAACAACCAGTTTGCCCGTACCAAACTGTTATGCCGGTTAACGACTGTGAAAACAGCGAGTCTGGTTTTTCCGTGTGATCGCTAGATGCATCCCAGATACATTTCCTTGGAAAGGCCTGTCATCATCCCCAGGGACACCAAGTGAATCTGTGATGAGAACACTCTGGAATGGCAGCAGCACGGAAACTGGTTGTCGAAGTTGGCTGGGCCTGTATCTGATGATATATATGCTGTCCATTGTAACTCCCCATGTCACAGAAGTGCTCTGCAGCCTACGCTACTCAGTGCATACTTATGGGACACAGGCAGCTGTTGAGCTCTTGAAATATGGCTAGTTTCACCAAGGGACTGAATTTTGACAGCTATTTTAATTTTGTACACTCACACACAGGTGCATGTGTATATATGCATATGTATAGAAGCCAGAGGACAATTTACTTACCTTCTTTGAAATAGGGTCCCTGATTTCACCAGTTAGGTAGTCTGACTGGCCAGTAAGCCTCAGGGATCCTTCTGTCTCTACCTCCTAAGCCTTGGATTACTAGCATATCCCACAATGCCCGGCACTTTTAGTTGGGTTCTAGGATTGAACTCAGTTGTCAAGTGCTTTACTAACTCATTGTTTAATTTTTATTAAATCTAAATTCGCGAAGTTGCACATGGCTACTGGATAGGCCAGCACAATTTAAATCTTCAGGGTGTGGGTCTATAAATTAGATTTTATTTATTTATTTATTTTTATTATTATTGATTTTATGTATATGAGTACACTGAAGCAGCTGTCATCAGACACACCAGAAGAGGGCACCGGGTCCCATCAAAGATGGTTGTGAGTCACCATGTAGTTGCTGGGAATTGAACTCAGGACCTCTGGAAGACCAGTCAGTGCTCTTAACCACTGCGCCATCTCTCCAGCCCCTTATTTATTCCTTTTTGAAACAGTCTTGCTGTGTAGCCCTAGTGGAGCTACTATCTGTTATGCAATCCAGGCTTGTCTTGAGCTCATGTCAATCCTCCTGCTTCAGTCTCACTGCTGGAGTTACACATATATGTCACCACATCTGGCATGCGTGTTTTAAAAGCCTTTGGCTAGCAGACACTTTCACTCTCCCAGAGGATGTGTCTTTAATGTATTTAATTGTCTCTGTTCCTTTTTAGCCACTGTCCCAGAAACCGTTTCCCTCAAGTGATTTCTTTCATGAAAATACTCTGTGTCGGACTCAGGAATGCCTCATGAGGAGAGTAGGGAAGAAATAAGGCTGACTGTGCTTACACATAGTGGGACTGCTTGGGCATTGTCTTCAGGGATCTGGGGAAGCTGTGATTGGCCAGCTTCTCCCCTTCTGTTCAGTCATGCCCAAGGATGACTCTGAAACCCCACACAGTATCTGGCAACTCCTTCTGACAGGGATTGTGTAAGACAAATTGTGGAAGCAGGCGTGTGTAGTTATGGGATCAAGTGACCGACTGGCTAGAAGTTAGCCCAGTTTCCATGCTGTTGCTGTTCCAGAATGTTCTCATCACAGATGCACGTGGTGTCACTGGGGGTGATGACCAACTGGGAGACAAACCGATCACATGCTCTTTTTAGGCAGGGAAGTCACTATGGCAAATGAGAACCTTCATTTTCGCCATTGTGTGCTAGAAGGATTTTTCTTTTTAAATTACGTGTGTGTGTGTGTGTGTGTGTGTGTGTGTGAGAGAGAGAGAGAGAGAGAGAGAGAGAGAGAGAGAGAGAGAGAATGTATATGTGAGTGTTTGTATGCATGTGTGAGTATGTGTATATGCGTGTATGTATGTGTGTATATGCATGTGTGAGTGTGTGTATATGCGTGTATGTATGTGAGTGTGTGTATGTATGTGTGTGTGGGTACAAGTGTTATGGCATGTGGAGGAGAGAGGATAACTTGTAAAAGTGTGTTCTTTCCATTATGTAGGCTCTGGGTCTCAAACTCAGGAAGTCAGGCTTGGCAGTGAGCATCTTCATATGTTGAGCCTCCTCTCTGGCCTGCAGGTGTTTCTTTCCTGGAGAGTACACTGTGTTTTTGTTAGGGTGAGCTTTGCTGTGAAGTCTGTGAAGGTTTCATCTGTGCCAGGAGGTCCTATCTCCTGATAATCCTCAGGCCAGGTAACCCTCCAGTGACCCTTCAAGATATATGTCCAGGCTGTGTAGTATAGGTCTTACATTTGTGATATGTCTTTTATAGAATGCCACAATAGCCATACGTAAGGTTCCTGAAAAAGATACCCCTATTTTATTTGTCAAAACATGAAATCTAATTCTATCCAATGAATTTTATTCATGTCAAATTGCCCGTTCATGAACTCAGTAAGCTTTTATTGGACTGATTATCATAGACACCGTTTGGTCTGTTTTGGAGACATTGTAACAAATGACAAATTGGGTAGGTTCCAGTAATCGATGTTGCTTCTCACACACAGTTCTTTCTGGAGGTCAGAGGGCCAAAATCAAGGTACCACCTGGGCTGGGCTCTTGCTAAGAGGCCTTAAGGAGGAACTCTCATTTTGTCTGGTGGCCACTGGCAAGGATGCCCTAGGCTAGTGGATACATTATTCTTATCAACGAATCCTTCCCTGGTGTACTTCTTGTGTGCCTTGATCTCTAGATTTAGGGTCATGCTAATCCAGCATGGCTTCATCTTAACTTGACACACAGTTTAACCCAGAGCAATAGCATGAGGGAGCTCTTAGGGGGAGAGGAAGATATGGTCTTTGCCTATAGGCGCTAACCTTGGGTAAGGAAGACAAACTGATCACATGCTTTTTCAGGGCAGGGGAAGCCACTATGGCAGATGAACCCCCAGTTTTGCCATTGCGTCAAACACTCCCATGAATGTTTCTTGTCTTTCTGTTTTTGTTTTTGCTCAGGTCATTACCCAAACAGAGTCTCACCGACAGCGCCTACTGCAGGAAGCAGCTGCCAACTGGCACTCCTGGGTCATCAAAGTCCAGAAGATGAAGGCTGTCTACCACGTGCTAAACACATGCAACATTGACGTCACTCAGCAGTGCATCATCGCTGAGATCTGGTTCCCAGTGGCAGACACTAGACACATTAAGAAGGCCCTGGAGCAAGGCATGGTGAGCCACAGGGGCAGCTGGGGATGGAAGGCAAATCACATCCAGCCTCCCCATACCCCTGCTTGTCCTTTCCGGGGTTGTGAACTTCATTGGTGGCTTTGTGGTAGGACTGTCTCTCTCTTGTACCTTCAGTGCATTAAAAAAAAATTGAGATAGTATTTCACATATTCTTGGCTAGTCTCAAACTCTCTAGGTGGCTGAGGATAAACTTAAACTTCCAACTCCAGGTTTGCATTAGTACACCTGATTTATATAGTGCCGGGGACTGAACCAGGGCTCAGAGCATGCTAGGCAAGCAGTCTGTTGTCTGAGCTCTGCTCCAAGCTCCTTTACCTTCAATTCCTAACTCAGTGCAAAGGCACAGAGGAGAATCGTTTTTTCTCTAGCAATTGAAGAATGAGTGAGTGCTTATGTGCCACCTCTCTGTCAGCTGTGGTAACAGGTATCACAATATGACTACAGATGCTATCATCTTATAGAGGTACAGGCTAGCCAGAGAGGCAAAACAACCAGGCCCACGTACTAAGAGCTCAAAGGCATAGGTGGCTCAACATGTGTGCACGCACACACACACACACACACACACACACACACACACACACACTAATCCCTTATTTATCTGCTACACGCTCAGGGCACAGTCGATCCAGAGCCCCCCTGGGTAGACATAGCTCTGACACAGTAGACTTCCTAGAGAGATGGGCAGTACACACGCCCCTGAGTACACACTCTCAGGCAGCTCCCAGTCACCCTGAGTGGGTGAAGAAAATGAAGGACATCATGGGAGAGAAACTGGTTCTAACCACCTGTTGTCCTCATGGATGAAAGAGTGAACCCTGGCCCAAAAACTGCCTGAGGACTGACACTTGGTACTCCATAGGTGAGAATAATAGTGATATCATCCACGCCCAGGCAGGAAGATGCCTCATGCCATGCAAGGCCACATGGGACTATACTTAGGGCCAGAGTGAGCCACAAGTGGGAATGGGCTCTGTGGTGATGAGAGGCGGACTGACTGGTTCCTGCTGGAGAATGTGATACACTTGCTTGGATCATTGCATGGGGTAATAGGATAGTGAACCCCACTGGGGTGAGGACTGGGTGGAGGAACGCTGGTCTGACTGAGAGGGAAGACTTTTACGAGGCAGGTGGCTAGGCAGGGGATGCATCTGGTGAGCTTTGAGATACTGGAGACCCTGATTCAATGTAGAGTCATCCTGTGTCATAATAAGCTTCCTACGAGACTGGCTAGAACAGTTTCCTCAGGCCCCTGAAATGTCACAGGTGTTTTCCCACACAGGAGTTGAAGGCCTCATGTGGGTAGGAGGCAGAGATAGAACAGGTGTTGGATACTGCCATCACCATCAACATAATCCCTTGTGGCCTCTGCCAGCCACTGTGTCAGCTGCCATGGGGCCTGTATGGGAAGAGGCAAAAGCTTCAGGCCTTGCTGCTAAGGAGGTGATTACCATTCCTTCTTAACAACATGGTGGGAAACCACTCCATCTGCTTTATGACCTGGAGCAGTTGCTTAACTCTGCTGTGCCTCAGTTTCTTCATCTCTAAAGTGGGTTTGTCTTGAGGTGTACCTCGTGACATCAGGGAAACCGAGACTAAACTCTGTAAAGACCTTTGTAGTTAGTAGAGTCCCATTCAAGGCACCTCTGATGGTTGCCATGGGGATGTGGAGTGGTGGGATGGAGGGCACAGAGAATTGTGAAGTCTTGGGCACCTGGAGAGGTGGTTTTTGTAGTGTTGGTTTCCATGAGATATGAGTTATGATGGCAGCAGTGGAGGATTAAGTCAACTTTGCACAGAAGCCTGGGCTCTGAGACTAAGGTGCTTTGATTTCACTCTTTAGACTGTAGGAAGCTTTGAAGGACAATGCCTTTGGTTTGTTTTATTCCAGATGTGACTGGGCAGAGCGGGTGGGTGAGGAAGCCAGCAGAAGGACTGGAGATGGTGAGGCCCGACTTGGGTGGTAACCCAGAGAACAGGAGTCAGGACTAGAGAGAGAACTATTGAGCTGGAATGATGGCCACTAAGTCTGGAGGGACAGAACAGGAACCTGGGAAAGTAGAGACTCTGGGAAAAGACAGGGGACAAGGAGGACCTAGCTGAGACAAGTTGATGAGTCAGCTGTAGGCAGCTGGATTTTCTAGAGCTTCTGGGTCAGGACAACCTACTGGGCAGTTAGAAAAGACATGTGGGAGAAAGCTTGTGCCTTACCTTGAAAGATAAGGATGAATAAGCAAAATGACTGAGCTTCTGAAGGAGAAGGTGAAGAGGGGGAGGAGGAGAGAACCTAGAGCTAGTGTGTGTGTGTGTGTGTGTGTATGTGTGTGCGTGCGCGCGTGCATGCGTGCATGTGTTGGGTTGGGGAAAGATGGCCAGAGAGCCAGGATGGGCTCCTCCTTTTTGATACTCTCATGTAAGAGATATTAGGTAAGTGTTGAGACACATTCATCTTTCATAAACGGGGTCACAGTTCTCTGGAAGGTCAGGAGATGTCCCAAGTTCATGTCCAGATCTGTGTGCCAGCATTCAGCTCTCCTCCATACTCAATAGTTACCTGTTCTTTCCACAGGAACTCAGTGGCTCTTCCATGGTCCCCATCATGACAGAAGTGGAAACTAAAACTGACCCTCCCACCTTCAATAGGACCAATAAATTTACAGCTGGCTTCCAGAACATTGTCGATGCATATGGTGTAGGTAGTTACCGAGAGATAAACCCAGGTAAGTACCTGATGCCTCGGACAATGGGGTAGCAAGAAATTGAAAATTACTGAGGCGTGCCTCTCAGTAGATGCAAGAGCTGAATCTGATTACACCGTGATGCTTGACTCATCTGATTTCCTGTATTGTCTTTTGTAAATGCTGACTCATGAAAGATTTGTTTTTTTTTGTCTTTATGTATCCATGAATTGGTATTTGTTTAGAGTCAGGGTCCTGTATGTAGCTCAGGGTGGCTTTGAACTCATGATCCCCATGTTTCTATCTCTGCACTGAGCTTACAAGTGTGTCACGCCACACTTGGCTCTTCTAAATGGCCGTCAACCCTAGTTTTCATCTCCAAGTCAGCCAGGAAACTTTAGCATCTTTACAATTCAGAAGTTATTGTGTGAGAAAGACAGGATACACAGGACTTTGGGTCAGCAGAATAGACCCTTAGTGCCCAGTGCTGTGCAGGTCTGTTGGCCTGGTTAGTAAAATAGAGGAGTAGACCAGATGGTCTATAGCCACACAGAGAACAGTGCAGTTCTACAGCTTGAGTCTTCTCCAACTTGTGACCAATAATGCAGGAGCCTCGTGGGGTCTCAATGCCTGTGGGTAAGCTCTGGTGCTGTTTCTGTGGTGGAGACAGACCAAAGATGGCATTGGAAAGAGTATAGAAGTCAGAGACAGGCTTCCAGTCCTGTATTAGACACTTGTATAACACTGGCCAAATACCTCTATAAACAGCTTACTGGAGATGTGATTCTATTAGTACTTTTCTGTTGCTGTGATAAAATGCCCTAACAAAAAGAAACATAGGGAAGAAAGAGTTTATTTTACTTCTTGGTTCCAGAAGGAGCATACACTACAGCATGGTACACAACAGGCATGGTGAGTAGGCGTGGCAGTAGGACCAGGAGGCTGGGAGATCACATTGCCATCTGAACACAGGAAACAGAAAGAGAACAGGAAGTGGAACACAGCTATAGAACCTAAAGCCCATGGCACAGTGGCATAGTTCTTTCATCAAGCCTCCTCCTCCTAAAGGTTTCAAAATCTTCCCAAACAGTGCCATCAACTGGGGGACCTAGTGTCTAAATATATGAGCCTACGGGGGACATTAGTCCTCACATTTAAGCCACCTCGGGGAGGGAGGATTTATTTTAGCTCCCAGCTCCAGAGGGCTCAGTCTAAGGTCACTTGGTCCCTTGGGCAGAGCATCATGGTGGCAGGTTGAGGAGAAAAGAGAGCTGAGACAAGGAGAATGTGGGAAGGGGTTGGGGCAAGGTAGAGTCTTGCCCTAGTTTGATTTCTGTTGCTGTGATAAACACCATGACTAAAAGCAATTTGGGCAGGGAAGGGTTTATTTCAGCTTACAATTGTAGTTCATCAGGAAGGGCTAGAGCTTGAGGCAGGAATCCGGAGGGAGGAACTGAAGCTGAGACCTTGGAGGGATGCTGCTGACTGCCTTGCTCCTTGTGGCTTGCTCAGCCTGCTTTCTTAAACATCCCCGGACCACCTGACCAGGGCGGCACCGCTCCCAGTAGGCTGGGCCTTCTCACATCATTTAGTAATGAGAAAATGCCCACAGACTTGCCTACTGGCTAAACTGATAGAGACTTTTTCTTCCCAGAATGACTCTAACTTGTGTCAAATTGACCAACCTCCCCCAGAAACTAGCCAGCACAAGTCCTAAACAGTGATCTACTTCCTCAGATGAATACAGATCCGACCTATGTTGGAGGAGCAGACATTGGAGGCCAGCTCAGGAACTGTCCCTTACAGATTCCCCAGACTGCAGCCTGCCCTTTTCCAATCCCCTGTTTAACAGACAAGGCCTGAGACCCCCATGTTCTACCTTTCACCCCCTCCCAAAGCCACCATCTGAGGAATCCATTAAGGGATTGATCTGGTGGTTAGATCAGAGCCCTCAGGATCTCATTCTCATCAGGAATCTAGTTCAGCAAGCAGTCAAAATCAACTATCACAAATGACACCTGACGTTGTGACTGTGAGAAGCTCCAATCACTGTATGAGACTTAGGGCTGGCATAAACCAAGAAAGGACAGCTTCGTCCACGGGTTAGCTCAGGCACATGGGAGCCAAGCCGGGTCTGTATGAAGATGGTGGAAGAGAGACAATCAGAAACGCTTGTGTAAACCTGCCAGCAGATGGCAAGGGGAGGGGCTTCCCCAGGAAAGTGTTAGTTGGGGGTGGGGACCCACTTGGGGCCTCAGCTGCTGTGACTGTCACCCCTCCAGCCCCCTACACTATTGTCACCTTTCCGTTCCTGTTCGCTGTGATGTTTGGAGACTGTGGTCATGGGATGGTGATGCTGATGGCGGCCCTGTGGATGGTCCTAAATGAGAGAAACTTGCTGGCTCAGAAGAGCACCAACGAGGTGGGTAGTCAGCAAATGCTCCTGGAGGGAAAATGCTACAGTGTACCTTCCAGGGGTTGTTCGCTTTGGCTCACGTCTTTAACTCAGCACTTGGGAGGAAGAGGCAGGAGGAGCTCTGTGAATTCTTCAAGGTTAGTCCAGCCTACACAGACCAAGATAGCGACACCATGTCTTGAACAAACAAAAGACAGAAGCAAAATGTCTATGCCAGGGACCAGAGCAATGGCTCAGCTGTTAAAAGTGCTATGTTCCTGGAGAAGAGCTGAGTGTGGTCCCCAGCACCTATGGTGGGTGGCTCACAACCACCTGTAACTCTTTTGCCCCAGGGGCTCCGGCGCCCTCTTCTGACCTCCTCGGTCACCTGCACATGTGTGGCATGTGCTCACACAGATACACATAAGAAATAACTGCAAGGGTCAATCTTTTTAAAAATGTGTATGTGATTGTTACTATAAGGAATAACATATTCGTAAAAATAACCCAATTCAACATAAAACTCTGTAACAGTGTGGGTTTTCTGGCTGTAGTAAGCTCATCTTTTTCTTTTGGTCTGTGACATTATGAAATGTTGGCTTTTGCTTATTTATTTATTTATTTATTTATTTTTGAGACAAATTCTCATCTATCCCAGCCTGGCTTCAAACTCATTGTGTAGTCAAGGATGACATTTTACTTCTGAGCCTGCTGCCTCTCTACCTCTGTAGATCTGGGATTGCAGGCATGCACCACTATGCCATATTTATGTTGCATGCTAGACAAACTCAAAACACTGATTTTTGCTGATGGTCGAGAGTATTGGGGAATGACCCTAATCAGAGCCACTCTCAAACTCACAGAGATCTGCTTGCTTCTGCCTCTGGAGCGCTGGAATTAAATCTAACCTTCTCTTAATTTTTTAAAACCTTTCTTTACTCTGATTATAAAAGCAATACATAAAGTGTTAATTGTAGAACTTATGTCAGATTACAGTCCAGACACCTAGAGAAAGATCTTGATGAATGCTTTTGAATGTGTTTCCATTCTGTGTGTTTGTGTTTGTAATTTTCAAAAATTGACATCAACAATTACACATTATTTGTAGTTTCCTTTAAAACCTAGCTTAAAGTATCATGCATATTTTGTTCATGGCAGAAACTTTAAGAATCCTTAAGGAGTCCTTGCTTTTGGGACCTCACTTCTCACTGCCTTTGGCATGATCTCCTTCCACAGTATTGTGAACATAGAGGCCCCTGGGTGCCTGTGTTGGTTAGAGTTTATCTCCCGATCAGTTAATGGCAAATAAGCTCATGGTAACACACTGGGCAGAGTGGAGCCATGCCTTTAGCTATGTTCCAGACTCTAAGAATGGCTACAGTTCTCTGGCACATGCTGGATTGGTTAGAAGGCATGCCCTGATGTCATTATGAGTTAATCATTAGCAAGGCCAGTCTTGTGACCAGTTCAGCCTTCCATGACAAGCTTAACAGATGTCATTTTCTATGGAAGACATTTAAAATTGCAAAGGGACTTGTCATCAGTTCTTAGAATGGACGATACCCACAGCCAGCATCCCAGGAAGCTGCTTTCCCTAGCAGATGTGGCAGACAGAAGCCAACTATGCTTTGTCTCTGTGAAGACAAAGCCCCAAAGGCATACAGATCTGACCTGGGATGACGGGGCAGAGGCCAACACAGGGCCCGTCTCCTGGAGGTGCTGGAGACCACAGCCTGCCTGATTACTTAGTAGATGAGGCCTCGGTGTGCATAGCCATCCATTCTGTGGAAAGAGAGAACATGAGGCTCACACGTTTTTGTTTGCACAGTGAATAAAGGCCCGGGAGTCTCTGACCGACCTATATAAGCTCATGCGTGTGGGAGTATGATGTCTGCCTCGGTGTGCCGTCTCTCCCCACAGTACTGATGCTGGATGTATCCCATGTCTCTCCCCTCCTGCATCACTTCGGAACCCACTGACGCTCACCCTTTTTTCCTGGGCCAGATGTGGAGCATCTTCTTCAATGGGCGCTATCTGATCCTGCTTATGGGCGTCTTCTCCATCTACACCGGCTTGATCTACAATGACTGTTTCTCCAAATCTTTTAACATCTTTGGCTCCTCTTGGAGTGTCCAGCCTATGTTCAGAAATGGCACGTGGAAGTAAGTTTACAGCCTGCCTAGGGCATGCTTTCAGGCCATCCAAAGACCGCATGGCTCATGACTCTGATCACAGCTGCCCCTAAAATTTCACCCAATAATCCAGTTTTTTAAAAAAATGTATTAGTATTTTATATGTATGAATGTTTTACCTACGTGTATGTATATGTACTATGTGTGCATGCAGCAGATGTCAGAAGAGGGCGTTGGATCCCCTGGAATTGCAGTTGTAGATAGCTTTTCTGAGCTGCCATTTCATTGCTAGGAATAAGATTCAGGCCTTCTGCAAGAGCAGCAAGTACTTTTAACTGCTAAGCTAGCTCTCCAGCCCCAGTATCTATTTTATCTACTTTGTGCAATGGATAAAAATAGATAACCCAGCCACTGAACTGGTTGTGGTAAGAGAGATAGCTTGTCAAATTCCAGCTCAATTAAATATATGCTGTGGAGGGTATACCATGCAGCAGGCACTTTTGTAAAAATAGATGGTGCGGCAGTTAGAAACTGACTCTCCCAGGAGCTGTAGAAGCAAGGCTCTCTGCCCAAGAGGGCGAGGTTGGCAATATGCTTTGCTCTCGTGTGGAGATTTGCTAGCCCGGGATTTAGGGGTGAAGACTTGGCTTTAAAAAAGCCGGCTCAGGTGATGAAGTATACAGACGCTCAGCTTTCAGCCCCCCTCCCCCCAGCAGGACATTTCTTAGGCTGCCCAGGGAAGCTAGAGTTCAATATTAAGAGCACCAAGGAGGCCGTGAGTTTGCATTGGCAGCATCCGGGATTGCTTGTGGCTGAGTCAGGACTTTGGGTGGAGGGTGCGTGAAGCTACCTAGAAGCTCTCCAGCTCCACAGTCTGTATCTTCCGTGTACTTTCCACAACCGTTTGAAGCTAACCAGACTGGGAGTACAACACTTCAGGGTTGTGGTTCTAGGGAGAGAGGGAGTCCAGAGTTTGAGAGAGACAGAGAGACACAGTTACAGCCTTGCTTCCTGTCCTGCCTCTTCCTTCTCCTCCTCTTTTCACAGAAAGTGCCATAGCATTCCTTTCCTTCCTTTCTCTCCTTCCTTTCCTTTCCCTCTTCTCCTCTCCCTTCCTCTCTCCTCCCCTCTGCTTCCCTTCTTTCTGTTTTTGAGACATGGTCTCACTGCACAGCCCTGGCCTTTAACATTTGGAGATATCTGTCTCCCAGGTGCTGGGATTAAAGATGTGCCTGACTGTGCCCAGCCTATTTGAGGAAACCAAGAGTTTTACTTGTTCATCCAAGTCTGTAGAAGACATAACAGGGAGAGAAAAGCAAGCAGCCTCATTTGAGGAGATTAGCTCTAGGGAACTTTCTCTGGGGCATTTTATTTGGTGGACATTTCTGGAAGACTCAAATGCACTCTCTAGAGAGAATGGAAGGTGTGTTTTGTTTTGTTTTGTTTAGTTAAAGGACTGAAATCGGGTGCCTGTACAAGCAAGTGGACCACCACTGACTCCATCCCCAGGCCAGATGGTGACAGATTTTTAGCTGGAGTTGTGGAGGTTCTGATAGATCTCATTCAATTTCTCTGGAAGGCCCAGGCTCTCGGTGTAGAGGAGGACACTGTAATAAAGAAAAATGAAGGCTAAAACTGAAGATAGACGGATGGCTGTATTTGCACATGCCCCCCCTTTATGATGGATGGCTGTATTTGCACACGTGCCCCCCCCCTTTATAATGGCTAGGCATCTGAAGAGAAGCCTAGAAGAATTTAATTTTGAACTATATTAAATCTGTATGATTTCCCAAAACGACATGAAATTTCACTTTCTCTGTAGTGTGACTGAATGGGCTCGTTGCTCTGCAGACATGGGTAGGAGTGTATTTCTGTAATGCACCTACAAACGACGCCTTCCCCAGCTCCATACTCTTCAGATACCCTGGAGCCAGGGTAGACAGATGCTCACCCATATACCCCAGCTAGAGGAAAGCAGAGCTGTGTTCTCAGTGAGGCAGAGGAAAGCTAGACTTAGGTCACCAGGCAAAGCCTGGGGCTTGAGCCTGCTTCCTCTGACACTTAGTGTCTTTCATCTGGAGACTACCCAGGATAAGCCTGTGGTCTCTGGGGTTGGGTGCATGGCCCAATAAAAAAGACTACACACTAGTGCCAAATAAGCTTCCAGATGTCCCAAGCCACTGTCTGAGACCATGGCACAGTGATGTGGTGTGGAGAGAGAGTTTCCTGGGCACCCTGTCACAGTGGTCAGCCTTCTTTTCTTCATTTCAAACACATATTCCCCGGACTTTCTATAGAGGCTCATGAAAAAGGAGAGGGGGGCTGGGGACATTTGTTACCTGGTAAAGTACTTGCTGTATCAATATGGGGACCCAACTTCAGATCTCCAGCATCCACTTGAAAAGCTGGACATGGCAGTGCCTATTTGTAACCTAGGCACTGGGAGATGGGAGTGGGAGGAGGCAGACACATCTTCCATGTTCACTGAGAAGCCTGACAAACTTTTATATTTTCTTTCTCTTCCCCCTTCCCTTTAGGGGTGGGTGGGTTGAATTTTACAGAGATCAAGGTCCATGTGTAAAAATTCCATCTGTCCTTAAGGGCTGGTCCAGGTGTCTCTTGGGTGACCTCATGTTTCCACCCTGCCTAACTTCTCTCCTTTACTGTCTTTCCCCCTCAGCCCAGCCCTCACTTCATCAGACGTGTTACAGTTTCTGGTTTTCCTGACTGCATTCCAGTCAGGGCTGTGGCTCTTTGTAAACTTGGGCTGTGAACCTGTGTGGTCCAGATGGTAATTTCAGAAGCCTCAGGGCTCAGGGTAGTACCTGATACATAATAGCTATTCTGTGACCAAATATGGTGCCATTGAGTGAGCAAAATTGCTACCTTGCCAGCATCTGAGCTTTGGTTGGCCTTCAGCTCATGGCTGATGTCAGTATAGTATCTCTCTACCTGGATGTTTTCATATTATGTTTGTCTCTCTGCTTTGTCTCCTTAGTGCTCATGTCATGGAAAATAATCAATATTTGCAGCTGGACCCGGCCATCCCAGGAGTGTATTCTGGAAATCCCTACCCATTTGGAATTGATCCGGTAAGAATTCCCTCCAGGGTGAAGTGCCAGTTACGGATGACATATTGTTGAGATCTCTGAATAGAGAAGGAACAACAAACTGTGGAGTGTGATGGGGCAAACTCAGAGGGTTGCGTGACAGGCAGAGCTGTGTCCAATAGATGAATTCTGCCATGCCTTGGACTCTACTTCCTATATAGTTTCCTGTCCAGTTCCTTCTCCAGCAGCTATCCCGTTGCTGGCTGATAACAAGCTTTTAAAGAGCCCTTGCAGTCTGGAGAGGTAGTTCAGCTGGCAATGTGCTTGGTGCTTCAAACGTGAGGATTTGAATTTGGTCTGCAAAACTTTCGTGTCAAAAGCCAGATGTGGACTGGACATGGTAGTACATACCTTTAATCCCAACACTTAGAGACAGAAGCAGGAGAATTTATATAAATTTGAGGGTATGCCTGGTCCACGATCCTATCTCAAAGAATAAAACAAAACAAAATCTTAGACATGGTGGTATGTGCTTGGAATCCCAACCATCAGGAGGCAGGGTCAGGTGGACCACCTGCTTGGCCAGTGAGAGGTCCTGCCTCAAAAAAGGAAGAAGAAGGTGGTGGGCAGTCTCTGAATGAAGACATGCCTGTTCTCTCTGTCTCTGTCTCTGTCTCTGTCTCTGTCTCTCTCTTTCATACACACACACACACACACACACACACACACACACACACTGACTGCTTAGAAAGTACATATATTAAATAAGTTACTTAATATCCTGATTAAGTGTCCTACTTTGGTATTTTCTTGCAGTGGGTAACCTCTCACACTGTAAAGTCTGACTTTAGCTTTTTTGTAGGCCAAAGGTCAAACTTGGGTGTATCTTTAGGAGCGGCCTATCTTGTGTTTTGAGACAAGGTTTCTTACAGAGACACGAGGTTTGCTAAGTGAGCCCCAGGGATCCTCCCGTCTTTGCCAGCTTCAGATTAAAAGCACACACAGCCACACGTTTTTACATGAGTTCTGGGATCAGTCCTGGATTCTCATGTGTGCATGGCAAACACTTCACAGACTGCTCTATCTCCCCAGGTTCCTGTGGGTTTTTAAGATGTGTTTCTTCTTACTATTTATTTGCCCTAGCTTTCAGTCCACTACATGTGGCATTTCCAAAGCCTGTACACTATGAGATGATCTCTGAGAGAATGAAAATATCGTTGTGAATGGTTCATTCAGATGAAGTCCGTGCATACAGCCGCCAGGTGTCACTGTTGTTCCCAATCAAGCATGCCTCGGGTAGACTTGATTAATGTCATTCTCAGCTCTGTGTGGAACACAGCCTGAGTGGCCAATTTCAGCTTCAGCAACAGCCTGATCACAGCCTGACAGTGGCTCTCCAGTCACCTCCCTCTCAGTCACTTCCCTCATGCGTGTCCTCTCCTCCAGTTTCCTGAGTTCCTCTCCTCGCCCAATAAAAGCAGAAAGCACTGCATGGCAATTTTCAGACCCACGGCTCAGTCCCAGCTGTGTTCTCAGTTTTATCAAAGCAGGTAGAATCCTTGAAAGCCTGTTTGTAAACTGCAAATGTAAAAGACAAGCATGGGTGGCTGATATTTTGTAAAGATCTTATTTTTATTATTATTTTGATCCTCTCTCTCTCTCTCTCTCTCTCTCTCTCTCTCTCTCTCTCTCTCTCTGTGTGTGTGTGTGTGTGTGTGTGTATGTGAGTGAGCACGTGTGTGTGCTTACACACACATGCCTACATGAATGCAGGTGCCCTAGTAAGACAGAGGCATCAGGTCTCCTGGAGCTGGAATTGCACGTGGTTGTAAGTCAGATGTAGGCTCTAGGAACAGGTTCTGCCAAAGCAGCATGTGCTCTGACTGCCTCGCCCCTTCTGCCCAGCTCCGTGTGTTATCTTTGCATAGAGGAAGGCTTTCTCATTGGTCAGGATGTCATGGCCAGGAAGCTGGCAAGGGGGAGATGTCAGAGTCTGGTGATTTTCATTTTCCTTGAATCCCATTGTTCCTACCTTCTCTTCCTGCACAGCATACTCAACTGTCAGTGAACCCCATCTGTCCAGTTCTGCTCCCCAGACTCAGCAAGGGACATATTACACAGTGATATTTTATTCGACTTTAAAGAAAAATGAAATCATGACATATGCAGGAGAAAGGATGAAACTGGAAGTTACTGTGTCAGGCTAAACCAGCCTGCTGCAGAAAGATCAACATTGCTTGCTTTCTTGTCTGCAAAGCCTAGATTTAAAGTGTGGTGGTGGGGGAGGGGTGGGGAGACAGGACTAGAAGGGGAATCATGAAAAGAACAAAAGAAATCTTAAAGGAGTTGAGGGGAGGAGAGAGTGTCTTAGGTTGCTTTCTATCGCTACAATAAAACACCATGACCAAAAGCAACTTGGAGAGGAAAGTGTTAATTTGATTCACTCTTTCACTTCACAGTGCGCAATTGTAAGAAGTCAGGGCAGGAACCTGGAGACAGGGACTGAACCAGAAGCCATGGAGGGATGCTGTATTGGCTTCTTCTCCTTCTCCTTCTCCTCCTTCTCCTTCTCCTTCTCCTCCTTCTCCTTCTCCTTCTCCTTCTCCTTCTCCTTCTCCTTCTCCTTCTTCCTCCTCTTCTTCCTCCTCTTCTTCCTCCTCTTCCTCTTCTTCCTCCTCTTCCTCCTCTTCTTCTTCCTCCTCCTCCTCCTCCTCCTCCTCCTCCTCCTCCTCCTCCTCCTCCTCCTCTTCTTCTTCTTCTTCTT